ATTAGTTCTTTCTTGATATCCTATTTTGTTGAAGCCTGAAAAGATGCATTATTGTCTGACTTACGAGAAGGACCGTGTGACAGTAGGCTAAAGATCGGTGAAGCCAAACTAGCATGAAAGCTTCTAGAGAAACAAACAGGAAGGTGGTAAATGTTCCTATAGAGGGAAGAGAACGTATAGGAAGTACTATGAGAGAACAGAGATTTACAGGGAGAAATACCCGAGTCTGCCCCAAAGCAACAGGTTGGAAATCTCATCTGAGTATTACGTTTGAATGCTTTTAACTTCAACCGTTAATTGTTGTATTTTCTTGCATGTACTAGATTTGCCACATTATATTAGCTTACCAAGTAATTCTAGACAAATCTCCTCCGATTTGATTAGCCTTTTCATTTCCTAAGATATTGAATTTTTAGTTGCCCCTATCTTGGGCATTCCTTTAAGTTAGTCGCATCTTATATTTCTTAGGGAAAGGTGGCAATTTCTTGGTTGAAATGGACAAGAATGCCGAAGGCATGTGTCTGGAGCTTCCTGACATAGGTGTGCCTTTTTTAGGAACAATAAAGAGGCTGCCTGTTCTTGAGTGTTATCAAGGGCAAAAACTTATTCCGCAGTCAAAGATCAAGTTGCAGCTTTTCCCTGTAAATGAAGCCACACGCATAGGATTGGAAAAGGTAGATCATAAATCATGAAGATTTGAAAAATTAGAACAGCACTGTGTATTTGCAAGCTAGAAAGTTTGTCACTTTAATTTCTAAGTTTCTTTTCTTTTATGTCATTTTCATTCTTAGGATGGACATCATCCATATTTAGAACTCATTCTTAGACCACAGAAGAAGATTACTTCTGTACTAAAGCACCTTAATGACAAGTGCCAGATCAAGCATTGCTTTGGATCAGCCAGTTCTATTCCCATATAAGATGCCCGACAGTATGTCTAGTAACAGAAGATGGACACTGAATGATGGCAATATTAGTGCCGGAGCTGTCTATGCAGCTTTTGGAAGCCCTGCAGTTTTTCGCTTAAGGTATAAGTCTTCCTCTATTTTCTTTACTCAACGTGTCATTAATTTTTCTGACTTCATATGCTTTCTGGTGATTGTGACTTTAATGAATTGCGTTAAGCTGGGAATGCAATATATAGACGTGATGAAATGTCGGATTGAGAATACAAGTCTTGATAAATATTCTGTCCTTTTTTTTTTTTCAAAATTTAAAAGCAGAGATGGAAAATTTGTTGGGTAGACATTTTGAAGATTTACGCAACATGTATCTTTCATGGGTTTTAATGATTGTATGAAGTTTCTCTCTTATTGTAATTGGGAGGATATTCAGAGGAGGATGGGTAACCATGCTCAGGAACCACTTTTGATTGACAGTGTAACTAATATAAGCATTGGAGGCCTACTTTCTGAAGCATCCTTACAGGCCAAGTTCAATAACAGTAAAGAAAAACAAATTGGGAAAAATGAAGGCTTTTTATCCTACTGAAATAAAAAATGATTCAAAGTCATTTGTTTCGTGGGATTGTCCATCTATGAGCATTGGTGGCCTCATGTCTGAAGCATCCTTGCAGGGCAAGCTCAATGGATTTGATGCACAACCAGTTGAGAGGAATGCAGGCTTGCCACCAACTCAAGGTCAAATGCCATCCACTCATGACTCATGCTTATCTATTTTTGATGCCGAAGAAACTTGCCATGCATTTCCTTCTCAAAAGTTCTCTTCATCGGGAAAAGATGTTCTGGGGTTTGGTGGAAGTCGTGGATGTTTCAACCAGAATCCTGGTTCTAAACTATTCAAGTTCCCTGATGCAGCCAAGGTTTGCTAAGTTCTAATAATGCATTTCATTCTGTTATTGCACGTGTGCTGTTTAACCAGTTGTGGCTTCCGTCTCTTTTAAATAACTATGATTTGAATACCAGATTTTTGGATTGGTATGACAATAGATCGTCCTATTCTACAAATATTATAATTTGGATTTTAAATAAATATGAAATTGTTTTAATTGGTAGTCAGAACATGTCTTGAAATGAACTGTGCTGAATCTCTAGTATTTTGAAGTGTTGAAAGTTTCGGAATGTCTCGACATTGAAGGGTGTTATAACCTTTGATGTGTTGGTTAACTGAGTTATCAAATTTCTCCGTCATTTACTTTTTTATATTGTTAAGACTTGAAGAACCTTAATCATCTGTTTGGTTTGGTAGACCTTTCTAAATTTTACTGATCAGAATAAGACTATTAACATCAACAGATTGCTTGGGGTTTTTTTAGGGTTGTGCTTTCCACACACCACTTTTTACTTCATACGCACCCACTTAATTTACGGCCGTCGGGTCGACTGAATTAAAGAAGATCAAGGGACATAAACTAACAAGGGGCGTGTGGATAGCAGATCCCTTTTTTTAATATATGTGTAAGACCATATGGTGAGGCAATTTTAGGCTATATAATTCTCACTAGTATCTTACCAAAGTAATTAGTATAAGGGCTTTGTCAAGATTTTAAACAGCATGTAGCTGTGTTCCTTGCCGGGGGATATGGACACGCTTGGCCGTTTCAAGCCGTTGAAGTAAAAAACAAGCAGAATCTCAGTCGGATGTTTATTGCAGGCTAACAGTGTTGCTGAGCTTTTGCAAGACCAGCGTGGTTGTCAGGAATCGGATACAGCTCTCATGATTTGTTTGCGAGTGAACAACGATGAAAGAAGTCTTGGGCTGTCAGGCATCAAATGGGTATGTGAATTTCTTTTCGAAGTGATTGTTGCTTGGCCTCCCTTTCTCTCGGAAGCTGATCACCGGAAAGAGTGCAAGCAGCTGAATTTGTGAAGTAGCAGAATACTCAGATCAATACTTTGGTATGGTTCTGGAAGTTCGCTAAATTTATTTGCATTCACACTTCTTATTTCATTTTTTTTCCTATATTAGCGCGAACGACTTTATTCGAGCTCGACTTGGGAAAATGAGGTATCGTTTGGTATGCAGACGGGACGGGACGGGACGGGATGGGATGGGACGGGACGGGACGGGACGGGACAGGACGGAACGGAACGGAGCGGGAGCAAAGATGCCCTCGGATGGAAACAAGGAGGAAGAAGGAGACGGAGAGGTTATAATTTTATGTTCCACGGATGTGGAACGAGTCGTTCCAGGGGGGTGAGGTGGAACGAAAATTCACCCAAAACTCGTCCTGTGGAACAGCTCGTTCCACCCGTTTAAGGCGTACCAAACATGGGACGGAACGTCTTATCCTACTCTGTTCCGTCCCGTCCCACGTACCAAACGGTACCTGAATTTTCGATGACTTGATTTGCTGCCGAAAGCACTTTTAGATAACCAAATGAGCTTCTGATAATGTTAAAGATTCGTTTTTTTTTTTTTTTCCTAACGGAGAAAAGGTTAAATGTTTTGTTCTAGCAAACACTTGAATTTTTGTTAAAATTTTTGGGACCATTTGGAAATACTTCTTCATAAAGCACTTTTGCTTGTCAAAGCTTTGACTTACAAAGTGCATGTCAAAATTTGTAATCATAAACAAGCGCTTGGGTTTTCACAACCAGGGCTAAATCTTATTTACAGCCAGAGGAGGAGGCGAATAATAATCAATGTGTACAGGAATTAGAGTCCTGCTTAAATCACAGATGTCTTCCGTTGCTCACTGGTATGTCAAATTAAAGTGGGGTAAATAATAATTAACTCATCACCATCATCAACTGTATCATTCGCTCCTCGTTCAAAACCATCGGGAGACAAATATAACATTAATAAAGGATAAAAGGCTCATTAACAATCCATCTTCTCACATGTATAATAAATTTGACCTCTTAACCCCATACATGTATGATTTATTTTTCTGTTTACTATAACAATATTGACCTAAAGTCACAATTAAAATGTGGCGCAGACGAGTGGGGAAGCACACAATCGAAATAGGTTGGCAAGTAATCAACAAAATGCCTCACTTAAAAAAATTGATATTGCATGCGCTGTTTTTTGGATTCGACGAGGACATGCATCCACCACTGCTTAATTAGTTGCGCCCCAAGTGAAATAACTTTCTAGCATTGCCCCCGGTGAACACGCGTGTTTATTCTAAAACCACTTCAAAACAAGCTTTTGACATGCTTCGGATAAAATGATTTATGAACAGAAGTATTTCTTAGAAAAGCATTTTCAAATAAGTCCTAATGGAGATTTTTCCCCCCGTGTAAAATTTGTTTTCCTTTTTTTGGGTAAATGGAAAGAATAATGTTATTCATACCATGTTTTTGTACCGCATTTCCATGTCATCTTAGATGACATCTAATGTGAACAGCCACATCATTCAAATTAATCAGATCTTTAAATTTAGTTAAACATAATTTAATAAAATAATAATTAGGAAATGTTGATTAATTAAATGATAATTGTGGTATACGAATAGTCTTTCTTAATTATTTGCTTATTAAATAATGAATTAAATTAAAAAAATCTTATTAATTCAAATTGATGTAGATGTTCACATCAGATGCCATCTAAGATAATATGAAAATATGGTACAAAAACATGGTATGAAGTGAATGGATGGGTAACTATCCTTGCCGCCTGTAATAATGATTGTTGTGTTCTGGTCCTTCTGATTTTCTTGAGAACACAATGCAAGTCCTTTTTTTTTTTGCCCGTACAACAATATATTTTCCACTAACAAGCGGGGAGTTTGTCTAAACTACACATAGGCAATCTAATTTGGTATTGAATTCGTTATCCACGAGATTCGAACTTAAGACCTCTCGCTCACAAGTGAAAAAGAATACCGTCAGATCGTAGTACTGAGTGACCATCCAAGTCCTTTTAGAAAGAAAAAGATAAATCAAAATAAAAATAATTAAATATATTGAATGTTGGTTTTCCAATGCCCACCCCAACTCTGAAGGCGGAGAAAGCGGAGGGAATTACAAAGACAATGTAATGGTTGGTATAATCCCAAGGCAATGCCGGCCAAGAAACGGCAGTATCACTCACGCACTCTTGTTTCGGCTTCCTCATTGCATTTTCTTAAAAATTTTATTTACCATTACCAATTACAAACCATGTTCATTCATTGATTCACCGGATTTACTATGCAGTCATTCCTCACCACCACCATTGTCGCCGCCTAGGTGCTACCGTCCCCTCCAAAGTCCGTCGCTGACTTAATGGGTTGTGTTCAGTCGAAAACCAACTCCCCAAGTCATGACCTTCAAGTCCTTGACAAGTTGAAACGGGACAATGGCTATGTCAAGGGGAGCATCGGAGGAAAACCCGCTACCCTAAAACACTCAAGGAAGGATGTTAAGGCGGCATTCAATGGTGAGGATAAGACTGCTGATGGTGGAGGAGGAGGTTTGGTTGTTAGAGAGACAGAGAAAGCTAAGAATGGAGGGAACTTTTCGGGAAGGATGATGTTGAAGAAGATTGGAGGAGATGATGATGATATTGTGGATGGCTGGCCGAAGTGGCTGGCTGAGAACTTGCCTCGAGATATCTTGGTTGGTTTTGTTCCAAAGACTGCCGACTCCTACGATAAACTTGCTAAGGTAACTAGTTACTCCTTCAGACAGACTCTACTTACTAATTTTTTTGAATTAGGATGTTGGGATTTCTTGGTGGACAAGAAACCTGAATCTGGGTTTCCATATTTGGCTTTGGCATTGTAGATAGGGCAGGGAACCTACAGCAATGTGTACAAAGCTCGTGACAGGGACACCAAAAAGATTGTTGCTTTGAAAAAAGTCCGCTTCGACACATCAGAGCCAGAGAGTATCAAGTTCATGGCAAGGGAGATAACGATGCTACAGAAGCTAGATCATCCCAATATCATCAAGCTTGAAGGGATAGCAACATCAAGAATGCAGTATAGTCTATATCTCGTATTTGATTTCATGCTGTCCGACTTGACCAGAGTAATCTCACGTCCTGGACAGAGGCTCACTGAACCCCAGGTTGGCATTTGTCGGCATCATCTATCCCTACACCTAAAAATTTACTTACGTATATATGTTATGTAGATTTTGGGCTTATACGTGTGCAGTAAGTACAAATGAACTGAGTCTGTAACGGAAATGGTATGGAATTCATAGTACTCAATGATCAGACAGACAGATTTAGGTGTTTTTGTTTCGTTTTTTTCTTTCATACAGGTCAAGTGCTATATGCAGCAGCTTCTTGCTGGTCTCCAGCACTGCCATGAAAACGGGATTTTACATCGAGACATTAAAGCTTCAAACTTGCTAATAGACAGAAATGGGATGCTGAAAATTGCAGATTTTGGGCTTGCAAACTTTTTTCCTCCAAAGAAACGTCCTCTTACAAGCCGAGTAGTGACACTCTGGTACAGAGCGCCAGAGCTCTTGTTAGGTTCTACAGATTATGGAGTTGGTATTGATCTTTGGAGTGCAGGATGCCTATTGGCAGAAATGTTTCTTGGGAGGCCAGTTATGCCTGGGAGAACCGAGGTAAAATGATTTCGTCTTAACTTCATTTTCAACACCAGAAACCGCGATTATATTCACACAAGGAATCTTCGATTGATCCCACCATCATTTTTGAGAAATTACAGAGGCAGATTCATTAAGTTGTGTATTCAGGTTGAGCAACTTCATAGGATCTTCAAGCTTTGTGGTTCACCCGGAGAGGATTACTGGAAGAAAATGAAGTTACCAACAAGCTTCCGACCACCACAACATTACAAACCTAGTTTTGAAGAGCTCTTCAGGGACTTCTCAACATCATCATTTGATCTCTTAACAACACTTCTTGCTCTGGACCCGGCATCTCGTGGCAATGCTGCTTCCGCTTTCCAAAGTCAAGTGAGTACAATCATGAAGCTCTTTCTTCGTGTAATCAATATTTTCCGTTATTGCTTTTTAGTCCCGAGCTTCCCTTTTATTTAGGTCACCAACTGCAATCTGCATGAAATTTGATCGCTCTAAGAGAAAAGTGAGTGTAGAAACAACAATGCTTGAGAAAGTAAAAGACGTCTTAGTGATCTATATATTTTAGTACTGCTCAACATGTATTTGCAAATTGTAAATTTTTTTCTGGTTTCAGTTTTTTAGTTCAAGTCCGTCGGCATGTGACCTTTCAGCTCTACCAGTAATGTATAAAGAGGAGGACGAACGAACTCACACCAAGGACCAGAAGAAGTATGTTATTTCAAATTTCAACTAAATACATTGCAATTTACTTTCATTGATTATTTTGATTATTTTGATTAATTTGTTCTTATGAAGTTTTCAACATTTGATCGAATCTTAATTTTGCATAACGCAAAGATAACATTAGTAAATTTTCAATACATCCTTCTCGCGTACAACTGTACAAATTCATTAGCGTATCAGTTGCATTTTTTCCATCATTCATTAGATGCTAGATGTGCTGTTTCTGTTTTTCAGGTTCCGATGTCCCATTGATATTATGGTGCACTATGTTCATAGTAAAATGTTTTTCTGTAATGGAGAAATTGCAGAAATGGAACCCTCACAACAATGACTGTCCTGAATCTTACAAAATCTTCAAGAAATTATGAAATGTAGCAAGGGCTTTTATTTAATTGCTACCAAAACCACAATGGCTAATAGCGTGCTTTTCCATCTTAATTACATGTAAGGAGGACTTCCAAACCAAAGCAATTGCCTCAAACAAATCGCGGACTGGTTCAGAGAAAGGTTCGAGAGGTCAGAGGAGAAGTCGAATCTTCTAACGAGGTAAGTTTTGCACCTTCATAGATCTCTGATCTTCAATCATAAATTTCATTTGAATTATCCAATATTAATCCTTTTCTTAGTTCCACTTATTCGGGTAGTTCAGTTAAGCTGTTATGTGTTTCACAAGTTTCTTTGCGGTGTCTCCCTAATTAAGTAGTTTTTAGAAGTGAAATGATTTGCTTACACACACCCTATTTGGTTCTGTCCTTTGATTTCCTTTACTTTCGTTGATCCAAATGTTAGAATTAAACAGGGTATGCTTGAGGAGAAAAACGGTATGTGATAAATGAAACTAGTATCATCCTTAGACATCATTGAATTTCTATCACCCTGTAAAGGGGAGTTGTAAAATTGTACTGCATATGCATGTGATTGATATATATAGTTCAAGACGATTGAAGTACATATATGGTTTTTGTACTTATTTAGTTTTCGCAGGTGGAAAAGAAGGCAGAACCAAACATGTACCGGCAAGTACTGGAAAGTTGGCACAGCCAGGATATGGGAAGCATCCATAGCGAAATGGGAAGCTTGCATAGCCAAGGCCAAGACCAAGACCAAGAGACAGGCAACAGTGCATGCAGCAGCGCTTCCTCCACTACTTTCAAACCAAGCAGAAGAAGCAACTGCATATATGACAACTTGCATGCATCTCTTTCGCCAATAATCCGTTCTCATCAAAAACGATTCCCAACCACCGAAGGTCATCCTAATGCTTTGAAGAACATCAATCCTGACATTCTGAAGAACATCAACAATTTCGCGCTCTTGCAGGCCTCTATAACAGATATCATCAACCATACAGAAGGCAGTGCACTGTCTCAGTTCCGCAGATCTCATTCAACATTGGACTTCCGAAAATATTGATCCGGACAAGATGTAATAACTAGTATTGTTCAGATCGGACTGGACTAAGATCGACTAGACAGACGGAATTGAGATGTTATATTCTTCCATGCGCGCAACCTACAAGCTTATAATTATTTTTCCTCCTTTTTTCGGTCTGAGTTTTTCCCTTAATTAAGTTTGTTCAATAAATAAATCTTTGTATGTACCCTTTCTTTACTCGATAATTTATGCCAAATTCTCTTGGGAATAACAAGGAAGGGAAATTAATAATTTTTTTATTTTTTGGTGAAGAACGGGGAGCACAACCCAAAGAGAAAACTACAGCAAAACAAGTCCGAGGTACTCCAGCAGCATCATCTATGAGAGCTGGTCTAATCCAAACCGAAGGCTCATCAAATACAAGAATGCCAAGATCCATATTAAAACTACAATTAGCCAACTGATCCACCACAATATTCTTCTCTCTGTAAATGTGTTCCAGCTGACACCTCCTCAGTTGTCTCATCATTAATCTGCAGCTGTGCATAATTGTGTCAAGAGGATGGAAATTATCAACTTGGGTTTGCTTCAACAACATAACAATAGCCTTGGAATCCATATCAATATGAAAATCAGTAGCACCCTTATCAACAGCAAGCTATAAACTCCATAATTCAGCATCACAAACCTGCCCTTGCCCCAAATTCACAACAAAACCTCCTAACCAGTCGCCATTATGATCTCTAAGTACGCCACCAGCTCCAATTCGACTAGAATTTGTCCTTCTTGGTCCCTCCACGTTTAGCTTACACCAACCTCCATCAGGATGATCCTAAGAAAGAGAAATGTGTCTCTTGACAATTTTACAGGAATAATTTACAAGAGCCTTCATCCATTTAGTCACATCTCGCACAATGATCGCTTTTGAATCGATAGGCATTACAAAATTGACATAAAAAATCTACTTGTTTCTTAACGGAAATCAATATTGAACTCAAGTATACAATGACAGAAAAGTAGTAATATTTATTATTCTCTTGTATCACAAGCAATGTTTTCCAAAAGGAGGGTTGAGCTGTGGACAAAGGTTTGCAGGAATGATCTCAGAATCTATATATTCTCGGCGGAACATATTTCTCAATGGCCACCTTCTGCTTGGCTCTACAAGAATCGTGACACTAGAAGGATTAGAAATGTTTAATTAATAATTAAGTATTTAGTTACGGTGATCCACCCAAAATTGAATGATTAATCCCATAATAATTTTTTTATTTATCCTAATTGATAAATCAATAATAATTGTTGTAGGCATAATTTCCTGAACAATTATGGAGGCGATAGAAAGAGAGAAAGGTGCAGCAATAGTAGAAAGAAAGAGAGAGATGTGTAATTGTAGGTGTGTTTGATTCACCCCATTGTGCCTTTATTTATAGTAGTAGAAAGGGTAAAACCTTTCTCTTTAAAATTACAACATTTAATAGGTAATCTAATCCTAATAGGAATATATAATACTTTCCCAGATTCCCTAGGATTTACGCAATCACATTATTCTAAATATGACTGCAACACTCCCCCTTGAGTGTGTAAATACTCAACAAACCATCACATCAGATTCTTCAACAGATAAGGTAAAATAGTTGATTGAGTCATTGGCACAACGGGTGATCGTGAGTCTCAAATTTACTTTGAAGTATGCATTTGTAAAAACTCACAAAAACCTGGCTATGGTAAAGCCCATGGAATGGAGTAAACCCATAGACTAAGGAGAAAAGTAAGAAAAATATGCATAATGTCTAAAACGCTCGTCAAACTGGACAAAGGTAGTGAACTCAACGGAGTATGATCATACCGGCATGGGTGCCTCATTAAAACCTAGTTAGGTAGCAAAAACCCAGTGGGAAAAATGCTCCTAATCGTAGGGAAAAAGAGTACATTAAGATCATGTGAGTATGCTTCAAGATACTCCTCCTGAGTTAGACATAACTTTTAAATAAGAGAACTACAAGCGATTCAACTCAGATAATTTACGCATACCGATTTCTTAGACAAGCTTCTGAAATGTAGACTTGGGCAATGACTTGGTGAAGAGATCGGCCAAGTTGTCTTGGGAATGGATTGCATGACTTCAATCTCCTAATGCTTTGCTGATGTAGATGTAGGCGCAATATGTCTTGGCTTTGACTTCGTTAATGTATCATGGCTTGGTCGAGTTGATACATGCGGCATAATCTTCATGGATCGTCGTCGGGACTCAACGATGGATGAAAACACAGCAAGTACTTCGAAATTCTCAACAAGAACTCCTAACCATGTCTCATTTGTGGCGTTTGAAGATTTCGCAACTAAGGTCATATCGTGGACCTCCAAGATATTACAATATCCCTAACGGTAAAGACATAACCATTTGGGGATTTTGCCTTGTGCAGGTTTGATAAGTAACCAGCGCCAGCATAACAAACAAGGCAAGCATCATTCCAAGGATCAGGGGGGTTGGATCCATTGAGATGCATTGGGATTTGCCCATGTAGTACCTTTAGGGTACGTCTTTAATACCAATTCAATGGATGCGTGTAGGTGCGTTGCTGCATCTTTACCAATATATCAACAGCAAAGGAGATGTCCTGTCTAAATACAATGAGCTAAGTACAACGAAGCGCAAAGTTGAACTTTAGATATGGAATTTCGGATTCCATAATCTCTTTAGGGTCTCATGTGTATATAACGTACGGACGATCAAAGGTATACTCAAAAGTAACACATTCGGGGTGTAGTTCGACTGGTAGACCAAAATACCATCAAAACAATGCTTGCAATTCAGGTTAAAGCATAGACGCGTTTTCCCAAGATCCTTCATCTCAAATTCCATCTTCAGGTGCGAGGCAGTTTTCTCAAGCTCTTCCGGAGTCTTAGTGAGATTCGTGTCAACAACATAAATTGTAACTCTAGCAATTTGGAATAAGACTTCATAGTTTAACACGCAAGGGCATAATTCATCCCTGACTAATCAAATAATTACGTAGACGGGTATACCACATCCGTCGGATTTTTCAATCCATAAGTGAACGCCTTAAAACGAGTTACGAGGGTGTTCCGTGGTTTTGGAACTATTTGAACCAGTCCATGTAATTCTTCAGGAACTTACATGTAAATCTTCGTATCTATATCCCCATGGAGAAAACACTAACCACATTTCATAATGCTGCTATTAATCACAAGACGTTTGAGAGAAACCTTGCGCCGTAAGGCGTGCATCATATCGCACTATTTCATTCATCTCATAACGCTTCCTTTCCCACTTGTAACACAACAGGGTTACCTTGAGCTGTGTAGGAAAAATAGGTCCAATACACACTTTGGTAAGGAATTTGACCTGGATTGTAACTTTAGTTGTCCAATCAGTTTTACGTTGTCACTTAATCAACGGAACACGGTTCAATATCGTTGCTTTTCATTTATGTCGGTAGCTACCATATAAGTGAAAACATCATCAATGATAATCTCATTTCAATTCCATTTAGCTCATCCAAACTAGTATACTGGACTAAGAACTTTAAATCTCGGGAGAAATCTGGATTAATCTCATGAGATGGAAATGATTTGAGACAGCATCGAGTTTAAATTCATTGTTGTGTCATGTCGTGTCTTCCTCTTCTAGGGAAGTGAATCATACGAACTGAGCGATCTATCATGCTCCAGGCCAAGACAGATTGATTGGCTATCCACAGATGTACCGGACCGTCCAACAAGGGCGTCTAAACCATCCAATGGGGGCGGCACAACCTCCAGGGATGTTGACTCAATGTCCATTAAGTATGTCTATCCCTGTAGGCATGTTTGCAGCTGGTATATGATCTCGTCACTTTAGCTAGATCAGAGGAATGCATTTGGTGCAACATTCTAAAATCTAGAATTCATCGCACTTACTTATCATACATGTGCGGTGTGGGGATCGAGATGAGACATAGTGGGTAACGTCCATGCAAATTCACGTCGTTCTACATGAATGTTGACGTTCTTATCTCCACCTAACGGCGGGAAGACCATCTCATTAAAGTGACAACCTGCAAATGAGCAGTAAAGAGATCGCATGCAAGGGCTCTAAGAGAGCTAGTGTGAAGGAGAATCATGATTGACAAAAGATACACATCCTTCTTTGAGGACCCATGGTGGTACGTTGCGGTGGCGCAACTTGGCACATGGAATGCACACCCAAATACGTGAATACGAAAATTGTCAGGTTCATACCCAGTAACCAACTGTAACGTCATATAGGTTGGGTGGCAATGGGCCTCAAGCCAGACCAACATAACTGCGTACAAGGATTACATAGCCCTAGGCAGAAACTGAAAACTTGGTATGTTCACCAAAATTCGGGCGATCATTTAAATTGCGCTTTATGATCACTAGGCGAGGCTATTTGGGGTGAACACGGGAATTTGATGTTTCAATTAGAAACTCAAAACGACATGCAATACTTTAGCAAAAACCTTTGATATAAACTCTCCGACATTATCCAGTCTCTGAACCTTAAGGGATAAGTAAGGTGGTGAACCCATAATCGGCCATGAGGTTTAGCAGCAATGTGTGTGGACAAACATGTGACCAGTTTGTCGATTCATTAACCAAAACCATAAGTATTTATATGGTCCGCATTTTGGTTGGATTAGTCCACATATATTCCCTTGAATCCACTGTGAAAAGAGAGTCGTGTCGTATCTTTGCAAGAAATGATATAGAAAATCAATTTCCCTAATGAGCATGCTTGGCCAAGTGTGCTTGTAGGCACAATATCCTTACTTCAGATAAGGAGATGCATTGTAGCATCAGTGTTCGACCTCAATGTCCCAAAAGGTCATGCCAAAGCAAGTAAACTGCTCAATCACCAGGCTTCAAGCCGGCCATATTCTCAGTTGGTAGACAACCCATTAGCCCCAAATCAAAGCTTCAAGCTCATTTTTGGAGGTGGTGCAAAGATATTTCACTCTATTTTCTTCAATGGTTTCATTTATGATCATTGTCATCTCGAATATCCTTAAAAACTCAACGTCAGGGAGAATTTAAGGTCCCTTAAATGGTGATGCAGTACCATTCATACAACGAGGAGTGTGTCAATGTTCTTAATCAGGTTGGACAGACTTGAAGTTGTTGTTAGAGATGTGATTTAGGTGTAAAGTTAGTGTGCGTAGTAAGCATTCATCCACACAACCAACTTTCCCACATTCCAACCTAATCACGTGTTTAATTGAATCAGTCACATGTATTAAGAAACATGATTCAATTAACTCATATTCGAGGACAATATCAATAAGATTATTCATAAGTAAAATATACACCAAACTTGAATCCAAGAACATGGAAAAATGTTCACAAAGTAAATGGTATACTAAGGGGATTTGGCCAACAAGGCCATCTGTATCAAAATTCAACTCATCTAATAGTGTTTGGTGGAGCAAAAATTAGTCTCACATATTGACTACTAGAATGGTACTCCTTAACAACATTGGTATGGGCACGAAC